TGCTGGGCTTTGTCTACAAAAAAAAGCCCTGTTGGCACTGATAGCATTGCGAACTCTGAGGTAGGGAATTACTGGACATTTGGGGGTGGAGCATGGGGAGAGGAGGGACCTCAGCAGGATATAATGCCGCCCTCCAAAGCAGCCATTTTCTCTAGGGGATCTGATTTCAGTCACCTGGAGATCAACTGTAATTCCAGGAGATGTCTCCAGGCCCCACTGTAGGGTTGCCAGATCCCCCCGGGGTGGGTGGGGGGTTGCCTGCTTTAGGAGCCCCCGATCCGCCAGCCTGGATCCAGCTTGTGGGGGGAACCCCGCCCCCAAAGTGCTTGGGTGAACTCTGAGGTAGGGACATTTGGGGGTGGAGCATGGGGATAGGAGGGACCTCAGCAGGATATAATGCCGCCATCCAAAGCAGCCATTTTCTCTAGGGGATCTGATTTCAGTCACCTGGAGATCAACTGTAATTCCGGGAGATGTCTCCAGGCCCCACCGTAGGGTTGCCAGATCCCCCCGGGGGGGGGGGTTGCCTGCTTTAGGAGCCCCCGATCCGCCAGCCTGGATCCGGCTTGTGGGGGGAACCCCGCCCCCAAAGTGCTTGGATCGGGCCAAAGTGCCCAGCCTGGTGACACGCCGGGTACCTGCTCTAGCATTCAGCCTGAAAGTTCTATGGTATGATAGAACCCTAACCCACCGAAGACATGCCTAGTGCGATGACGTCACTTCTGGGTGATCCTATTGTGGCACGTGTGTTATGGAGAGGAGCTTCTCCCCACTGCAGGAAAAGGTAGGGACCTGGCAACTCTACCTGGAAGTTGGCAAGCCTAGTCCCATTTAGCCTGATGCTGTTTAATCCTGGTGTTCTGCTATCTTGTGGAGCCTTGGTGGCGCTTTAGAAATCTTGAGAAAGTGTAGTGGGCACCAGTGTTCCCTCTAAGCTGAGTTAGTGTGAGCTAGCTCACAGTTTTTTTAGCCTCCGCTTCGTAGTTTTTTATCTTACCTCAGGAAGAATGGCTCCAGAGCAAACTAACTGATGCAGTAGCCAAATTGCTCACTCACAACTGTAATACCAGTAGCTCACAAAGTAGAATTTTTGCTCACAAGACTCCGCAGCTTAGAGGGAGCACTGGTGGACACCACCACAAAATGGCTGCTGCTGAATGGGTCTTAACACCAAATGACTGCCATAGGGTAGGGCCTATCACATGTTAGAAAGTTTTGTAAATTGTTGGGACATTCCAAACCAAGCATTAATTAGCAAATGGGCTTTGTTGCCCTGGCACTTTATTGATCTCCTGTTTGGAATTTTGATGCAGTTTGACTCTTGAATTATCAAAGGTTGCCGTCTGACCTCTGTGATTGGGCCTGGTCATGTCATGAGGCAGGGCCTGAAGAAGAAGAGATTGGATTTATGCCCCGCCCTTCAGTACCTGAAGGAGTCTCAGAGCAGCTTACAAGTCCCTTTCCCTTCCCACAACAGACACCATGAGAGGTAGGTGGGGCTGAGAGAGCTCTCCTGAGAACTGCCCTTGAGAGAACAGCTTTGAAAGAACTTATGACTGACCCAAGGTCATACCAGCAGCTTCATGAGGATAAGTGGGGGATCAAACCCAGTTCTCCCAGATTATAGTCAGCGCTCCTAACCATTACACCATCTGCGCTCCTAACCATTACACCAAAGTGGCCTGGTGATCTCCCACTGAATATCATATCAACCCTGATGCTCCTGACACTGCTTGCTAGGGCAGCGGGGGGAAACGATGTCATCCCCCCTCCCCAACATTGCAACATCACTTCCAGCATGTACCAAAAGTGATGTCAATGCACTGGGGTGACGCTCTAGCATTCGGCCTACAATCTGTGGTAAAACTATAGAGTTTCAGGTGCATACTAGAGTGTTACCCCGTTGTGTTCACATCACTTCCAATTCACACCAGAAGTGATGTCATGACTCTGGGGGAAGCCAGACAGGTAGGTCCCTGACCCCCAAACTCTCCCACCTGGGCCACCCTGTCAACCCTACCAAGCATCTTCCTTCAGTGGAGACTGATTCTTCCACTGGGTGCTACCTGGGTTCCAAGCCCAAGACATGCACTTTATGTATAAGCAAAGAGTATTTAGCAGTGATGGGCTTAGCCCTTTTTTCCAGACATTCCGCTGGAGTGACCCTAAATTCCTTGATCCCCCCCCCCATCCCACTCAACACCTTTTGTATTTGATCTCCAGGACTCAAGTCAGTAGCACCAGGGAGTGCATCAGTGGGTATCAAGGCACCAAAAGGCACCATATTAGGGATCACTGAGCTAATCAGATAGGCAGTGGATCTCCTGAATCTCTGGTCCAGGGGTGGCCAAACCTGCTCAGCGTAAGAGCCACATAGAATAAATGTCAGATGTTTGAGAGCCACAGAACATGAACAAATATTACATGCACATCTTTATTTAAAAATATGCAAATTTGCTTTTTTATTAATATTAAATGAGACTGCCAAAAACAAAAACAAAAGGGGTAAAAACAGATATTGATAATGATATCTATTTGTCTAATGATATTTATTTGTCTGCTAATGATTTTTATTTGTCACAGAGAGAGAGAGAGAGCGCAAATAGACGGGAGGGAGGGAGGGAGGGAGGGAGAAAAAAATGCCTCCCCTTTGCTTCCCCAGCTGCCCTGCTGGGAGCGGCGGCACAATATGTGTGAAAGAGCCACATGTGGCTCCCGGGCCACAGTTTGGCCACCCTTGCACTAGTCCAAGGGATTGTTGGTAAGGTTGCCAGCCTCCAGGTTGGGCCTGGAGATCTCCTGGAATTACAACTGTTCTCCAGAAAACAGAAATCTGTTCCCCTGCAGAAAATGGCAGATTTGGAGAGCGGACTCTATAGCAAATGTCCCTCAAACCCAGCCCTCCCCAGACTCCACCCACAAATCTCCAGGAATTTCCCAACACAGATCTGACAACCCTAATTATCAGTAAGGGCCCACAGAACACAAAATTACAAAACCCTGGCCGTGTAATTCCTCACACACACTTGTCTTAGCTGCCCCCAGCCCCTTTCACTGTCCCAGCAGCCAGAAGCCAAGGGGCAAGCTTCTAACCTTTCAAGGACTGAACAAGAAAGTCAACCCTGCAAGGTAGGCCACTTGCAGGATGCGTTTCCACAAAACAATTAAGCTGGTAGGTGAGCACTTGGTCTAGGTACCGGAATTAGGTTGAAGTCAGCTGAAGGACAAAACACCCCAAGTGTGATTTAAAATAATTTATTAAAAATGTGCATGAATATTTCAAAAGGAACTTTAGCAGGGAAGAATCAAAACAACAAAGATGAATTCAAGAGGCTAGCTACACAGTAAAACATTGGTTCAAAATTACCAGATGTTCCTATTCTCAGCTGGAGACATTCAGCAATCAAAAGTCCATTCTGTCCTGAGTAAGCATTGGGCGGGCAGGGTGCCAGACCCACAGCAAGCAAGCATTCCAGATGGTTCTAATATAGCAACCAAGGCATGATAGCTTCAAAAGAAAGCCACACTCTGGGTTGCAAAAGCAACCTTTCTTATGACCAAAGATCCAACGTGGCCTGCGGCCCTTAGACCAATCAGATCTCTGGCTGGTGATGTCAGTTGATGAGGTGACCCTGTTACTAGGCACATGACCCAGGAGGGGGTCAGAATAGAGGGAAAGGATGGAGTTATCTGCAGTATAACTCCCTCATTTCTGCAAGTGTAGATCATGACTACTAATTGGATGGAATGCAATTAACTGTGGTTACCAAGACACCCGGCTACTGGCCTTGGGAACAAAGAGGGATGCAAGGAGATAAGCCCTGCTCCACTCCTTGCACCTGGAAATGTTATCTTGGACTGTGAGGTCAGCTTGCTGAATCTTCACAGTTGTTTCCCGTTTGAACTCACTTTCAGGCCTAGCTCAGAATGAAGCCTGAACCAATGTTTAACATAGTACAAGAAACTGCACTAAGAACTCAGTTTCTTGACATCTGGTAACAAAAGGTGCCTTCTTAAACACCAACTGCTCCAGTGAGGTGAAAGAAAGCTAGGACTGGCTCTTTGCTCTGGGGAAGATGCAAATGGAAAGCACAAAACATACCAAAGCATGTTTAGGGACTGTTATACTAGGAAACACTGACTGATAAATCAAAGGTCTGACCAGGGCTATTTCTGGGCAGGAACGCACAGGAATGGAGTTCCGGCTGGCTTCAGAGTTGGCCACGCCCACTACAGCCAAAACCTCTGCCTCCCCTCCACAATTGCCAATTTCACCAGAACCTCTTTTGCATCTCGAATCGCAGTGGCAGGTGGGGATGGACAGCGCATACTAGGTGAGCATCAACACAGGACACTTGCCATCACAAAGTCAACCCCACTATCAGAGAAACGGTGCGGTTCTTCTGTGCCTGCTGCATCTCACCTACCAGGGGTCATTTCGTAGAAAAAGAGGTGCAGGAGCTCATTAGCATAACTTATTAGCATAACTTATTTGCATATGCCACACCCTGTGACATCACCGGAAGTGTGGCAGAAGGCAACACCCACCGCTCAGGCTCCACTGGACTGTTTTGGATGCTAGCTATTGGGGGGGGGGAACGTGCAGATCTGTCCTCGCAGGGGAGGGAGAGCTTGTGCTTGAATAAAACTTGGTCTTAAAGGTGCCACTGGACTGTTTTGGACCGAGGGGCTGGGGCTCTGCAGCTTACCTGGCTGCTTCTTGCTCTAACTGAGGGCTGCTTGGAGCAGGGGGTGGGGCTTGTTGCATGTGCCCGCCCCCTGGGCTCTTTACTGCCGGAGCTCCACTCCTGTGCGCTCCTGCAGGAAATGACCCCTGCTTTAAGCCATCATGGCGACATATCTCAGAGATTACTGGACTGGGTTACTACTGTAGTTTTACTTTGGCTAGTGTAGTATAGTATTTAAAATGCAAGAAGAAAATCAAATTTCCTGTCAGCCACAGAAGTCCCTGGGTGTTATTGGGCCAGTCACTCTGGGAAGGGGCTGTGGCTCAGTGGTGGAGTATCTGTTTCGCATGCAGAAGGTTTCAGGTTCAATCCCTGACATCCCCAGTTAAAAGGAGCAGGTAGGTGATGTGAAAGACCTCTGCCTGAAACCCTGGAGAGCCGCTGACAGTCTGAGTAAATAGTACTGATCTTGATGGACCAAGGGTCTGATTCAGTATACACAGGGCTTTTTTTCTGGAGGGAAACATCGGAATGGAGTTCTGGAACCTCTTTGACAAAATTATTTATAAAATGTTTAAAGTTCATGAGTTTTCAGTATACAGATTGAAAACTTTATTTCCCTCTTGAGAGTTATGGCACCTCTTTCTTTCTTTTTTCTTTTTTAAAAGCCCTGAGTATAAGGCAGATTCATGTGTCCATGTGTGAACCTAGTCTACCTCACAGGGTTGTTATGAGGACAAGAGGGAAGAAGAAGAGGAGGAGGAGATTGGATTTATCCCCTGCCCTTCACTTGGAGTCTCAGAGCGGCTTACAGTCTCCTTTCCCTTCCCCTCTCCACAACAGACACCCTGTGAGGTGGGTGGGGCTGAGAGAACTCTGACACAAATGGCTCTTTTTCAAGGACAGCTGTGCCAGAGCTTGTGACTGACCCAAGGTCACATCAGCAGGTGCAAGTGGAGGAGTGGGGAATCAAACCCGGTTCTCCCAGATTAGAGTCCGCACACTTAACCACTACACCAAACTGGCTCTCTTTGGGAGAACCATGCATGCTGCCTTTTGTTCCTTAGAGGAAGGAAGGCTAAAATGTTATAGTTAGCTCATCCAGCCTTAATAGCACATAACTTCTCTTTTCCCCAACATTTTCTTTACCACTTCAAGAAAACACACACTCACTATTCTCTGAGCTACAAAGAACATTTCCCAAGTTGCAGCTGGCCAGATGGGCATACCAAAACACAAAGGAGCCAGGGGCTGCTCTGGCTCAGGCATAATTCCATTGGCGGGTTCAAAATGGCAGATGCTTGGTGAGTGCACTCTCTAAACCCTTTCTTTCAGGACTGAGAAAACATTTAATGTTCCAGAAACAAAGCAAATGGCTTTCTATTGCAGGTATAATTCCTTATTCAATGTAATTCAGGGTTGACCATCTTTGATGTATATGTATATATTTATTTAGTTATTTGGTTGGTCATACTGTATACCCACTTAGGGATCAGCACAAGTTGTTGGTGTTACTGCTACTGTCAGCAAATGGCACCTTGTATGAGAATCATTGTGGCTTAGGAAGACTGGAGTTCTGTTCCCTACTGAACCATAAAGGTCATTGGGTGACCTTGGGACTGTCACTCAGCCTCACCCAGTAGTCTTCAATCCAGGGGCTGGGATCCTGAGGGGAGACACAGAGAACCTCTTACTGGGTCACAATTTGCTATAGAGCTGCCATTTTTTTGCTGCCATTTGGAAAGGGCCTGCTGTGAAGACAGCAAGACTGCCAGGTCTCCTCCCTTTGTTTTCATGCTTACTGAGAAGAGTGAAGTGAGGTCATCAGCCGTGAAGATAATTCCTGCATGGCTCCGACCCTTGGGGTTTTTTTCTTTGTAGGCTTTGCATTTACGTTCCCAACCTTAATTTCCCTCTAAAATGGCCTTCACATAGTGATGCTCTAGGAATTTCCCCTAGTCTCTGTGATAACGACCATAGACACTAGGGAAGGCAGCCTAGAGCATCACCTGAAAATCAACTTCCCCCCAAACCCTGCCCCCCCCAATCTCCCAGTATTTGCCAAGGCAGTGTTGGGCACCCTAGTTCCTCGATAAAGTACTCCTGCTGGTGCTTGGCTTGTGTTTCCCATCCCCCTTGACAGTGGCGAGGTCATCTCTGATTCCTCCTCTTCCTGTCACGTGATGTCACTTCCTGCCACATGCTTCCAGCTCAGTGGGTCTCCTGCTTCCTAGAAAGACTGGAGCTTGTTGGCCTAACCTTCCTTACGGGCTTGTTATAAGAATAAAAAGAAAGAGAGAACCAAATACATCGCTCTGAGCTCTCTGGAGGACGGTTGGGAGAAAACCACAATAGCTAGCTGCTGTCTTGGCCACAGTTGCCACGTAGACTGCCCTATACCCCTTTCCCCCCCTTCTAGCCCCGCCTCCCCCATTCCACCCTCTTTCTTCTCCCCTCTCCTGTCTGGCTCTCTTTTTACTGTGTACTCCCGGCAATAATGCTACTGTGTGAAAGCACTAACAGAACAGAATCTAATTAAAACAGCAACAAAGCCAAACATCTGGGCTCAGAAAATAAAGCTTTCGTGGTGGGAAGCAAGGAGATAAATTTCACGTGACACTTAGCTGGCAAGAATCACGGCACAGGAGCAGGTGATCAGGGGACAGGGGGGAGGGGGAATGAGAGAGAAGCCATTTCGGAGAAGCCCCTCTCTCCTTATCATTTGGCAGGGCTTTGAACGGGTGTACTTTGCCTGTCCCAGTTCAGTGGGCATAGGGAGGGCCCTCCCTCCCAGCAGCATCCCCCACCCCCAGCAGCATCCCCCAATGCCTTCAGCGTGTGGCTAATTTGCTGCACAGTTATGTTTGTTGCTAGTAATGAGTCAGGGAAACTCTGATTTAAGGCTGGTCCGCGATCCCAGAGAAGAAGCTCTGGTTTGGGAAAGGAGGGAGGAAGTGTGTCTCTAACCGCCTAGTGGAAGCCGAGGAAAGTAATGCAAAAAAAAAAAAATATTGCACATGGAATCTCTTCTCTGGAGCATCTCCAGATGCAGAAAAGGGCCGAACATCAGCAGAGGTGGGAGGCACAGGCACATCCCCTTAGAAACTTTCCTCCCTTAGGGTTGCCAACTCTGGGTTGGGAAATTCCTGGAGATTTGGGGGTGAAGCCTGAGGGGGGAGGGGTTTGGAGAGGGGGGTGGGCCTCAGCAGGGTAGGGTTGGTGGCTGGACGTCTTCTGCTATTACAACTGATCTCCAGGCGACAGAGATCAGTTCACCTGGAGAAAATGATTACTTTGGAAGGTAGACTCTATGGCATTAGACCAATGTTCCCTCTAAGCAATAATTCTACTCTGTGAGCTACTGGCATTAAAGTTGCGAGCGAGCAATTTGGCTACTGCATCTGTTAGTTTGCTCTGGAGCCCTCCTTCCTGAGCTAAGACAAAAATCTTTGACTGGGAGGCTAAAAGACTGTGGGCTAGCTCACACTAACTCAGCTTAGATGGAACACTGCATTAGACCCCATTGAAGTCCCTGTCTGGTGGATGTCAGGGTGCCCATGGGCACTATGTTGGAGATCACTGCCCAAGATGGTCAATGCAGAAAGTGATTTGGCTGTACTTGCGCAAGCACTGTGATCGCCACAATGCTTGGGCAAGGACATAAGTCCTACAGTGATGTTCAGGGGTCCTTTCGTAGAAAAAGAGGTGCAGGAGCCAATTAGCATAACTCATTAGCATAACTTATTTGCATATGCCACACCCCCTGACATTACCGGAAGTGTGTCAGAAGGCAACACCCACAATGCTTGGGCAAGGACATAAGTCCTACAGTGATGTTCAGGGGTCATTTCATAGAAAAAGAGGTGGAGGAGCCCATTAGCATGACTCCCTCAAAGAGGAGGGAGAGCTTGTACCTGAAGGCGGGCTGGGGGGGGGGCTCTGCAACTTACCTGGCTGTTTTTTGCTCCTCATGGCCCAACTGAGGGCTGCTGGGAGCAGGGGGGGGGCTTATTGCATGTGCCTGCCCCCTGGGCTCCTTACTGCCAGAGCTCCGCTCCTGTGCTCCTGCAAGAAATGACCCCTGGTGATGTTACTGATGTTCATACACAATGGACTCAATATGCCACTTTACCCAGCACATGGCTGTTGGAAAGTGCATTGAAAGTGGATTGAAAGTGGATTATTTACTGTGTGTGATCGCAGCCAAAGACTCAACTCTAATTTCAAGGCAACCCCTCCCAAAGGGTCATATGCTCCTGATTTATACTAAGAATATCACCATCAGAAGCACGTTTGCCACACTTCTGCTTGTACGGTTCACATTCTCCAGACTAGGTGTTCAAAAAGATAGCTCCTTCTCTTGGTGTGCGTTCAGCAATCGCTGGATTCAAACTTGAACTTTTAAAAACGGGTATGTAATTTCCTGACTAATACCCCGGCTCCTGCATCATGGCTGGAGAAATAATTGCAGGCAGGAATTTCATATGTGCCCCATGTATCATGCAAATGTGACCTTTAAAAAAATGCAACTCCAACCATTGTGTGTGTGTGGAAACAACGCTGAGCATTGCGAGGGGGGGGGACTTGCCTCTTGAAAAAGGAACTCATATTAAGGTTGCCAACTCTGGGCTAGGAAATTCCTAGAGATTTGGGGGGGGGGGTAGAGCCTGGGGAGGACAGAGTTCAGGGGGGGACATCAGCAAGACATAACGCCACAGAGTCCACCCTTCAAAGCAGCCATTTTCTACAGGGGAACTGATCTCCGTAGCCTGGATATAAGCTGTAAATGCAGATCCCCAGGCCCCACCTGGAGGTTGGCAATCTTTTACATACCTTCTGCGAGCCAGGGAGCCGTGGATTCAGTCCCAGTCTTGCCATTAGCATGCAAGCAATGCTCCCTCTAAGCTGTGAAGTCTTGTGAGGAAAAATTCTTCTTGGTGAGCTACTGGCATGAAAGTTGTGAGCAAACCGTTTGGCTACTGCATAAATCAGTTTGCTCGGGAGCCCTCCTTCCTGAGCTAAGACAAGAAATGTGTGAGCCGGAGGCTAAAAAACTGTGAGCTAGCTCACACTAACTCAGCTTAGAGGGAACATTGCATGCAAGCTTAGCATCTGGCAACACATTTATTTTCTCAGCCCACACTTCTGAAGATGGGGGCATGCAAAGAAGTGTCTCCACTGAAGATGGCTGGTTTGGGTCCGAAGGAAGGTTGCCAGCTTCTAGGTGGGGTCTGGAGATCTTCCGCAATTACCATTGATCTCCAGACTACCGTGTTCAGCTGCCCTGGAGATAAATGGCTGCTTTGTAGGGCACGCATTCTATGGCATTACACCCCGCTGAGATCCCTCTCTTCCCCCAAACCCCAACCTACCCAGGCCCTCAC